GTATTTTCCTCACATGAAACTTAATATTTCCCAGTTTATTTCAGAATTATTGTCGTTTTCAATTATGATGAATGAACGATAGCTGACTAAATTTAATTATAGTCCGTAATTATTTATGTTTTTAATGAATATGAATAACATTTGTTTGCAATTTATTTATAAACTATTGTTATGTATATTTTGCAGATGTCATAGTGGGTTTCCATAAGCGATATGTCGGAGTTATTACATGTATCATTATTTCGAACGTTTGTTTAATACGATAACATTATCTTTATTTTAGGTTTAATAAACGTGTATTTCGAGGCTATTGTAGATATAATACATTTTTAAAAAAAAATGTTAAAAATTAAAGAAACAATGTCTCGAAATATATTGATTATCACTAGTGTTACAATTCTAGGCCATGATCCGCGTGGTAAACAACAAAGCGTTACTGTAATATTATCAATTTTATTGTTAAAGGTACATTATGCCTCAGAAATCCATATCTTTTTATTTTTTAAGAAATGTCAAACATGTGTTCAGAGCATGTTAGGTGTTTTACAGCTGAACAAGTAATAATGTGTCTTAAAGGCATTAAAATGTAAATTAAGTAGTATTTTGAATTCTATACAAAATACTGATTCACTATAATAAAATGCAAATTACAAACAGAGCTCGAGATGCAAAAGACAGTTCATGTATGTAGCAAATGAGTATGTTTTTTTTAAAACTGTAACAAGATGCCAAAAATAAGTTTTTGAGAAATAAACATGTTAGCACTGCTGACGCATAATGAGCCTTTAATACAGAGGAACAATCAAGTATCAGATAGTTATATTTGCTTTACACCACTTTCTAAAAATAGGTATAATCTTAAGCGATGGGTCGAAATACCATGCATCTGTGGTGTTTTTTTACCATGATGCAGAGCTGTATGCAAAAACCACATAATTATTTATATTGCAAATGTTTACTTTGAAAATTTTATAGCTAAAATGGGGATTATAATTGGCATGTTTAAGAGATGACAAAAAAATACTTACGCACGCATCTTCATTTTTTTAATCTTCAGGGCCTTGTATTATCATGAAGCCTTGTTAATGTGATAATATTTGATTTAATTATGTATTTCGTTTTCAATAGCGAAGTTTGTTTGATTGGTTACGACACACAACAGATGGTCCGTATATGCTAGCTGAATAGCTTTCTTACATATCGGGATTTGAACCCACAGCGGTGAAGGCAAGAAGTTTAAAGTCAACGAATCAATTGGAACATCCTCGGCTATTATTTATTAATGAAATTTTATTATTACTATTATTATTTATTTAATTTCTTCTCTATTTCTTTTTTAAAAAATCTTGGTTAAACAATTTAGTTTTTATATCATATCTATCAGTAACTTTAAACAATATTCTGTGCTATTTATAATTCTGACTGTTGTAGTCTTAATCTGAACTGTGATTTTATTTATATTTTTTTAAAATAATTTTATCCGATACCTCATCTGATTTTAGTCATTAACTGGATTTATTTAATTTATTATTTATATGAAATGATATTTTAATTCCTTAAACTGTTATTTTATATATATATGTATATCTTATTATGTAACTGTGATCTATGTTGTTGCTAAAATAAAATAAATAAATATAATGTCCTTATCCGAAGACTGACGGAAAGGGCCGAAAAATTGAGATTGGTCAACGAATGTATTAGATTACAAACAAAGTGACGTCATAAACAGTCTTGTTAACGACATATGATATAATACATATAACAAACAGACCAGGTTTTAATGATTATTAAATAACTGAGAAAGTTGTTTCATTCAGTCAGTATATAATGCATGTCTGTGCAGCGACTTTACTTTCTTTTCAAATTTCTACGAAAGTATGATGAATTTTTGAATTTGACATTTTAAAGAAAAATGAAGTTATATAAATGTCATTCATGAAACGAATATATCGATAAGCCATCATCAGGTAAAGAATCATTCTATTACGTTCTCTCTTGTGTGTGTGTGTTTTTTGTTTTTTTTTGTTTTTTTGTTGTTGTTGTAGTTGTTGTTTTTCTTTGCAATATCGAGTGGCCCGAATATATCCATAATGGCTTAAAAGGGCGAGAGATAACTCGGATTTTTCACCGTCTTGGGTGAAAACATAAATATTATATCTCTAAAAAAAGTATAAAAATCAACCAATAACAACAACGCACTTTTCTTTAAACTCAAAACCCCAGGCACACAACTTTACATGCTGATCAACAGTCCCGTAATAAAGAAAAATGAATATATCTCAAGCACTTTCAGATCTACATGTGACTAAATATGGGAATGCAAGCACGTGCGCGTGCATGGACGGACAGACATGGGCAAATTTAAATGCCCCCACCCTTTCCAGGGGCGTAACTAGGCGTATGCCCGTGATGCCCGTGCGTACAAATCAATCCTTTATTCCAAAAAATCACATGCGCTAAAAGTTCTAAAAAAGTGATATAACAGAGGGGGTAGTGAGATTGGGGCACATATATTCGTTATAGGCCTTCTGACTCTTTCGACTTTATCATTATATAAAAAATTCATAACATATAATCTTTTTAAATGATCTATATTGCAATATCTTATACATCTTATATATTATATATTATAAGTCACAATGTCCACGCTATTATCATTCTTAATTTAATATATTGTTACAACAGTTGCTACTCATGAAGGTGCAGAATGACATTCTTTCCTGAGAGAGCATTGAGGCATTGTACCTCGCATTTAACGCAAGCTTAAATGTGAATAAACCCATCTTTGTCCGAGTCTCAGTATTAGCTGTGGCTTATGTGATTGACTAACGTGAACTTGATACTTGCCGTCCAGCGGCCCCATCTTTTCGTAAGGAAGCAGGGCTCTGTACCCAAACATTAGGCATTGTTTGACTGTTTTAATAGTCATGTCATTGTCAACGGCAACAACTGAACTAAAACGTCAGAAGTAAGTACGTTGGAGACTGAGCGTATGTCTGGTATAGGCCTCATAAAAGTTTAGGGTAGTAAATGCCGAGTAGACAAGTTGGCATACCAACGAAGCGCTTGATTTTTTGTGATTTTTTTAATTTAAAATTTATTAAATACGGGAGATTTGCTGCTATAACTCAGTTTGAAGGTCGCAAAATAGCAAGTTTTTAATGCCAAAAAAATCGATTATAAATACATGTATAAAAACAGTTTTATGGTATATGTAACGCACCTTGTTCATTTTACATATTTTAAAATTAACAAAAGAGTTTGAAAAATCATAAGCAATATGTTTTCAATATAGCCTTTAGATAATCACGAAATGTCAGGATATCGCTTCCTCTTTCAAAATATTTCTCGGGGGAAATTATCCCCGACCCCCCCCCCCCCAAATTAAGGAGTACAACTTAATCAAAATAGCTCAGTTACGCCCCCGAGCCCTAGAATGGAGGCATGAAATTCTTCCCATCTAATAATGTAAAATGAACTGTTCCTTTTTTTTTCGTTTTTAGTTTCAAACTTTAAACAATTTCCTGTGGTTAAACTTGGCAGTGTATCTTTTCAAAAGCTATTTCTTGTTTCTACGTCAGGTGAACTATTTTTAGATTGAGATGTTTATTACAGTTAAGTCAGTGCAAGGGTTCCTTCGGTGCATTGATATAAATTTAGTAAAGACAGCAGCAGGCTGCTCAAAAACTTATTTATGATTTACAAAATTTTAAGATGCAGACTGAATTGATTAAAAAATCAAGTGAGGTGCTCTGCAAATACAGCAAATAGGTATCAAAAACATGTTTTGTTTGAGTTTAAGTTCAGTTAATTAGAATATTTTGTGTTCGTCTGCTTCGTTAGTTGAAAATATACAGTTACTGTACTGTACAGTAGCAGACGAATACGGTTCTTCTTCCGTGTGTTCTATTTATTTTACTAAGTCTACATGTTCATATTAAGGAGAACTTAAAATAATTTTATTTAATATACAAAATGTTTTATGATATTTTGTCTTTTTCAGTGCACACTACAAATCGCCAGTACAGTAGAGCTACTGTAGATCTGAAAAAATATATTAAAAAGCATTAAAAATTTCGTTCATATACTTTAATGACATTGTATAGTAGATCGATAGTATATAAATAACACATGGGTTTGTGGGATGATATTGTTACCGTTACTTACAAACCCACGTGTTTTATTACCCCGAACAAAAATACTGTGAGGAACTAAATCTAACTGTAACAAAAATAAACCAAGAGTAACAATAACTAAACTGTCCTTACCTTGTACTTTAGGCCTACTTGAGAAGTTTTCTTTTTCTTTTATTCTTTAAGCAGGTGATGATATCTACAAATCATAAACATACAATAAGCTAGGTTTTATTTAGAAAACAAAACACTAACCCATTTACACGGGTATCACCTGTGAAATCTGAACCTTCTGTTTCCAGAATATTCTTAGCATGGTTTTGACAAAATAACGATGATATCCTATGTCTGTCTACCTTATCTGTAACGTTTCACTGATTAAAATTGTAAAATAATCCTTTGTTGCATGCTTAAATCGTCTGCATGTTCCAGTTTTACACATAATTTTTTGCATTGCAATTACTTCCGATGAAAACGGATGTTCATTTTTTGACTATTCAACAAAAAGATATTTTATACGCAAAAAGCACATCAGGTTGCAAACAACTAAATTTTATGAGTGTCATAGTTACTCCAGAGAAGAAATTGATGTCCTATCGGGGTTTAACGTTGAAAATAAGAATGAATCGAGAAAAAAATGGCGGCCATTTTATTTCATTTTATTTAGAAAATATACCACGTGACCAGATTTTATACTGTTAAAAAATACTGTTACCTATGTAACAGTACAAAATTCTTAGTCACGTGGTACACTTGCATTAACAGTAAAAATAACCCCCAGAGGCCTATGGGAAATTAGCATTACGACAAAAGTGAGGGGTAATAATTTATAATAAATAATGTGAGAATTATTTCTTTTTTCAGAACTATTAAAAGATGAACTTATAAGATGGTACAACACCAATCAGAGTACAGTTTTTCTTTCACCAATCACAGATGATGTCCCTACCCCTCTTGCCGGGTTCTACATTATGCCAGAAATTGACATACAGACCTATCTGCCAGGCGGTAGGAAAGAAACAACTAGAGTCAAGTCATTACAGGACCTGTTTACATCTGGCAGGTACAGTTCACGGGAAATATATTTATCAGCTGTCGCTGGATTTGGGAAAACTGCATTTTCAAAATATCTCGCTTTGACATGGTGTCAAGCTCATAAAAAGGATGAAAATTATAACCATTTTAAAGAAGAAGAATTAGAGGCGATATCTTGTTTTGAGTTTTTATTTTTGGTGCTATTGAGAGATTCAACTAAAGTATGTGATGTCGACGACATGATTGAACAACAAGTCATACAATTTCTTCCGTGCTCATCTTCATTGCCAAAAGGACTATTAAAGGATATTCTACGTGATGAAAAATGTCTTGTTATAATAGATGGACTAGATGAATGGACTCATCCTGACAACTTTTGTACAAGACTTCCTAAAGGTATTCCGCATCGATATAGACGTGAAAAGTGTGTAATCTTGACAACGACCCGGCCATGGAAGCTTGGAGACTCAAACGTAAAGACAAGTCAAATGGACAAAACAATAGAGCTAGTTAAACTAAACGAAGATAATTCAAGGCAATTTAAGCTAAATGCACTGAAAATATTGAATGTAAACCTTCAAGATGATGAACTGAAAAATGAAGTGTGTAGATTTGAAGAATCAATCAGTGGTCATGACCTTGAAGATATGGAATCCAACCCCCTTCTTTTACTCTATCTTATATGTTTATGGGTTGCAAAAATTCCAATAGGAAATTCTGCAGTAGAATTATATACAGGCATTATTCAGCTCCTTTTATCTAGAACAGAAAAGTTACATGGAAAGTTTCATTCATCGTGTGAAATATCCCATAGTAATGTTCCTGAATGTTTCAGAAAACATAAACATTTCTGTCGTTACTACACATTTCTGAAGACCATTGGGAAACTAGCTTTTTATACATTGTTCGGTAGGAAAAAGGAGCAAACATTAGTTTTTGATAAAAATGTTGCAGAAAAATATCTTGACCAAGAAGATTTGATATCAAGCTGTCTATCAGGAATATTGTCAGAAAGTAAAGTGAAAACATTAATTAATGAAAGTGCTAAAATCTCATTTTTACATAAAAAAGTGCAGGAATACTTTTCAGCATTATTTATAAGTTTTCAAAATACAAGTGAAGTTCAGGAAATCATCTTTGAAGAGTGCAACTGCTTACAAAATATTCTAGACATGTCAAAAGTGTTTGGATTTATTAGTTACATGAACCCTAAATTAATGTCTTCACTATCAAGTGATTTGATGCCTGTGATAAACAATGATGAAAAAACAAACAAATACAGAACTTTGATATATTATGATTTCGTGTACATTAAGCCATTACAAGACATACAAGACATGTACATTTGTTGTACTAAAGAAAGCCAGGAAAACAAAGACCTCAACTTGTGCTTACAAGATTTTATCATTAATGAAAAATGTCACCAAGAAAACTACTTCAAACATTTACAACATTTGTGTCAAAAAAATAAAGAAAACATTAAATCAATAATGATAGAAAATGAAGGTATTTGTAGTCTACAAGACATTATCAACTTATTTACACTTTCTCACCTTCCACATATAGAGAAATTATACTATAGAGGTGAAATTGTAGAAGAGGAAATAATGAGCTTGTTATTTAACCCTTTAAAATGTTTAACTGTGATATCAAGTAAATGGGAAAATCATAAATTTGTAGGAAGACGTTGCCGGCTGTCTTCAGAAATAAATGAAGGACTGGTGAAATTACAACACCTGGAGTGTTTAAATATACAATGTTTCACTATGACCCACAAGGTAATGGAGACATTGTTAAATTTCCTCACTAGTAAAAAATCAATGAAAGAAATAAGATTGTACAATTTATACTGTAGTGATCATGGAACCTCATGTAGGGGATTAAACCTTGACCTGTCTCAACATTCACAACTAGGACATTTAGGATTGCTCGGGATACCTGTGTCACAATTAAACATGGATGTATCGTTGTTAGACGTATGTGAGGTAGGTACCTGGTGTTGTGTCGTCTTATCTAAGTCAACTACCAACAGCCAGTAGTCAAAATATATTGACGTGCCAAAGCTTAATTCTGAGATATTTTCGTTTTGGGACAGAATCTCGCTTTTGTGATATAAACCAGAAACACAATTTGAAAACTTTAAAACATTTATAAAACAATTAGACATTTGTGTGGTCACCTATGATGACACCTTGAAGTCTTGAGTGTACATGTTTGAGTTTAAAACAACAACAAGTACTGAGTAATGGGAAAAGCAATTTATAAATAGATTATGTGACAAGTGACAGGTGAAATAGGCATCATTTTTATTTAATCAATATCCTCAGGTGAATGTTTTATAGTGAGGACATGAATTAAATTAAACTACAGTGTCATTTTATGTACGACACAATCAAATTATTGAACCGCCCCCGTGGTCGAGGGGTTAGAGTCGATGACTTTTATTCCAGTTACCTCTCTGGCGTGGGTTCGATCCCCAGGAGATGCTTTGGTAGTTTAGCGCGGAGGCAGGTAGTCTAGTACTGGTGTAACTCTCCAGAAACGATGTGTTAGGATAGTACCCGCCTATATGACTGAAATACTGTTGGGAAAATGCGTAAAATGAAACAAGCAAACAATCGAATTATCCTAAATTATAACTGATTTGATGCATGGAAAGGTTAAAGGTTAGTAGTCTGTACATTAATTTTACTGTATTTAAATTATTTTAGAGCTAAGTTTTTTAAAGATTTTATTAATCTTGATGTTTAATTATTAAATTTATTTGCATAAGAATTTAAAACTACACAAATCTAGTTTAAGGTCTTCAACCTACCCGTTTTTATCCATAGTACATATACAATGTTTATTAGTACAGCCCCTAAAAACCAGTGCAGAACTAATAAAGTTTTCTACAGTGAATATTTTTACTTCGTTTCAGTGCACTTTAATATTAAATATGTGCATGCACTACTCAACCTGTCCACCTGTATCACAAACTAAGAAAGTTATTTTTACTTGTCACTCTTTTTGCTTTACTTGTACCTCTTTTTATGTGTTTTGTCTGTTATTTGTCTTATGGTAATTACTGTAAAACTCTATCAACAAAATGTATATATATGCTTATGCACCATTTTTAACTCATCTTCAGTTCACGTTTTCACCTTCAAGAATTCATGTTTTGAACTTTGAGATTTCTGCTACTCCATTTCAAATTCACGAATTCATGATTTCAAATTCAAGATTTTATTTTCATGAATTTAGGTTTTGAACTTCCCGATTTCGAATTCAAGAATTCAAGATTTCGTCTTCAGGAAGTTGAAATCGTGAGAACACAGAGTTGAAATCGTGGAATTATGAAGATGAATTCGAAAGTTGAAATTGTTTAAATCGTAAAATCATGAAGTTGAAATTGTGAATTCGTTAAGATGAACCTGACAATATAAGAAGTTGAAATGTCGCCACCGGTCTTTCGTATGTCCGCTATCCCGTCTATATATAAAGGTATATATTGGCCAATTTTAATCATCCTTTATTCTTGCAATCGTTACAGGCCCTTTTCCCTCTATTTTGGGAAAACGCCACATGGCAACTTTGGGAATTTTTTATGTCTTAAAATATTCCAATTTGGGGAAAAAAGTTATCATGAAATTTGCTAATTTGGAAAAAATTCTAGCATTCAAGTATTACAATTGTTAACATAAATAGATCTAAATAAATCTTACGTGAAATGTTAAGGTTTTTCTGTCATATCAACAATACAAGAACAGGCTAAAATGTGTACAAATGTTAAACTGATATAAAATAAAAAATCCTGAAAACATGAATATATTCCGTAACGACATTTCGCAACACCAGAATTGAAAATGCGGTTCATTTTCTTTCAAATTGTCGACTTCTAGATTGGGAATTATTTTTTTTTTTTGGATTGGGGAAAATTTGGATGGGGAATGGGGCCCATATTCGAACCCTTGGATATGGGAATAAAGGCTTGCGTTATATTTATTTGGTTCTACATATTATGGTATTCTTAATTTAGGCCCTCCATGGCCAACTTATTAAAGTCGCTGATTTTAAATCACAGCCCTTGCCTGAGTGTTTGAATCTTTTGTCAGGCACTAAGGATGATCTTTCGTATGAGGAAAATTTGCGGATAGCTTTATTGGCTTATGAAAAGGTCACTAAAATGAAAATTTATTCTGCATTTTGTACCTGTAAATAAATAGTATCTCGTGTCTTTATTTCACGATGCCCGACCTCATTTAAGCTACTTCAGGCCATTTTTTTTCAAATGAATAATTCAATTTCTTGAAGAACACCTCGAATAGCAAAATTTAAAATGTTGAAGGCTCTGTTTGATTCGGCCTTATTCGTGGACTATATTTCTTTTTAACATTACTACATTAGTTGATAAAAAGAATATATCACGTTTGTTTTGCATACATTTAGTATGAAAAGTTGACAATTTTGAACTGTTATTCTACTCGTAGTGCTAAGTGTTAAAAGACACGGCTGTTGCTGTTGTTGTTTATTTAAAAAAACCTTATATAATCAAAATAATAATCTCCGTAAATCAGAAGCAAATGAAGAACATCTCACAATTTGTGTTTCGTTAAAGACCTTAGTGCAATCATTCAAAGTGTCACATGCAACAGTGGTCTGATTGCGTGTTCCAAATTGACATCACATGTGGCGCTCTAATTTCTTACCGCTTACTGTGTTCGACAATGTCTGTTCCAAAAGTCAATTAAAGTCCGTTATGAAAATACAATTTTTGATACCGCATATGTCAGTTCTATTGTCAGAAATTCTTTAACCATCAGTTGAATATTTCATTGTTAAACCCAAAGATTTAAAAAATATTGCTCTATAGTTAACGATGTAATAATGATACATTGATGTGAAATTAACGATGTTACTTCAGTGTCTTTGAAACTTGATAGTTAGGCATGTTTTGTTTTCTTTATTTCAGAGGATCCCTTACTGTACAATGCCTGTATACCAATGTGTTCATGTCTTGTGAAAGCATAGCAAACAGACTACTTATGTCAAATTCACACTAGATTCGCCTTAACGAAGCATACTTTCTCTGGATAGATTTGTTTTTATAATTAACATTTAAGCATGGATATAATTGTTATAATGAGATGATAGCCATTTTCACACAGTTGTGTAACAATCGTGTATATGCCAAACAATACAATTTTATGCATTCGTTGGATGGCAGATTTCTGTATCTTCAACAAAAATTAATAAAAACAATGCATGTTGAAAATAATGAAAGTAACACTTGTGTGGTCAGAAGTTTTAGTATCGAAATAAAATATAATTGTCACATGTTAATGTAAATTGAAGTTGTATACAAATTTATGTCATAAATTGTACTCCGACATATATGCAGTAGAAAATTGTAAAAGTTTTATCATAAATATTATGTTTTTAACTGTCCGTGGGGAAAAATATGCAGCGTGACCGAGATTCGAGCTAGGTACAGTCAGAATACCGCTTTAGCGGCTTTGCAGCATTGCCGACGGAGTAACACCTAATATCCACTTTTGTTAATGTGATGGAAGGGAGGTAACCTATTTCGTATTCAAGCGAAGCTCACATTGAATTAGTCTATAAAACATTACATTATGTATTTGTAAATAGTTTTCTATGCATCATACTAACTTGTGTTCATCTTGTATGACTGTTTACTCAGGCAAGCAATATTTAGTGCTGTATATTATCATATTCATCGATGTTTCAAATATTTTCCGCTTTAACTCAGGAAAACTGTTGTATCATAAATTCAGTGTGTATATTTTTTATTGTAAGTTTTGTTTTTATTAGTTGTATGTGCTTAATATGAATATTTTTCAAAGTTTAATGTTATAAATGAAAATATTATTGCAACATATCAAATCATGCCACAACTATCGCTACGTCATTATTGAATAAATTCATTACATATTTATTCTATTTTACTGTAGTTCAAGTTTTAGGTATGAATTCATAATTCACATTTAGTTAGTAAAAGTTTCGTATGTAAGAAGATCTGTTTGTAAGAATAGCTTTATGTCAATCGACTTTATAGTATACTTTCATTGTTATTGTTAACCATGAAATATGTCTACTCAGAAAAGCAATGGCTAATTTAGATTGAGTCCTCTTTGGATTTTTTTTTGCTCAGTCTTTAGCAAACATATATTATTCAGTTAAAATAACAGAAAGTTTATAATTTCTCTATGTAATGTATTGATTGATGATATGTTTATATGTTTGTATATTACTTATAACTGTTTGATTTAATTTGATATAAGTGAATATATAAGTACTTGAAAAAATTGTTTGTACTGAAATTGTTATAATGTTACATCATTATTATATCAACTGAATTAGGCTCCTGTGCATTACAATAATTGATTGTTACATGAGATATATCTCTTTGATATTTTAGCCAATACTGGTATAGTAACCAGCAGTTCAATATATTATTCAATAAAACACTAAATATATTCACTTAGATTTTTAACAAACAAATGCAGCTTTTAACCATAACCTAGTATCCAATTAAAGTACGAATCAATTAATTATTGTACTACGTCTAGTCTCGTCTTTATATTTCAAATATTTTAATGAAAAATATATCAAATCCATATTTTACTATAAATAGCAAAGTTCTGTCAACATGTTTAATAAAGCATGGTGATGTAAAATAAAAATGCAATTATAAAGTGTACTACATATTAAATGCATTTTAAATTGGAATCCATCTTTAAAGGGCAGGTAACTATATTATTTTGTCGACTTTAAAATTCTCGGTTAACTTTTTTTGAGATACATTATCTAAAACAAGACTTAAAACTTAGAGTAATTGTCCACTCAAATTTGTATTTCACTTGTGGTGTTATTTGTTCAATGAATGAAAAACATTTTTACTCTGATAAAAAGATAACGTTCTGTGTTTTCATGACATACAAGCTGGCATGATTTGTTTATGCTAGTATCTAATGTTTGAAATAATTTTATTTTTGTGTATGAGATAATTGACATAAACCGTATTGTGACGATCATTTGTAAATTTTCTGTGAAATCTGATATTAGATTAAATGAATCGCAACGCATATTAAATAGTATTTTCTTATTTTGAAAT